CCAAACTATGTTACAGACTTTTCATTAAGACCCTAAAGAATCATATCAACTTGTGGAAAATGGCCATCCTATGACCCCTTTAATACAGCATTGAAGTGATATTGATAAAATATGATGCTAACTAAGTGAAATAATAAAGCATGCTGAAAACCATAAAAGCATGAATGAAAAACAATCACATGAATCTGGAACAAACAAATGATGAGACTGACGGTCCTTTATCTGAAGTTGCAGCAAAAATATGATTTCTTCAAAATGAGTATTATTGTATTCATATAAGCAATTTCATGTCTTTATATATCATACCTTAAATCATCATTATGTGACTCATTCTATAATATTCTTCAAAATATTCATAAATTAATGTTTTATTGTTATTATTATTATGTTTTATGAATATTTTTGTAAACAAAAAATATTATATTATCATTTTTAGTAGCAGTTATGTAAGAAAGTGAAGACAATAAAAATATCAGGTAAGTTGTCACTTTTTCTGGGGCATTTGTTCTCACATTTCTTTGAATTCGCGTAATTTATCTTAACCTGGAGCTCCGTTTTTGTTTACAGCTGTTCACTGAGATGCATTTTACTGTATTTGTATATGGTTATACCTCACAATAACGCTATGAGTTTAAGACTGGCCGCAGTCAGCTGTGATGTGACGGTACAAGGCACAATATCAAATTACGCTACATCACCGGCATGAAATCAGCTCCAACGGGAAATAAAGACATGGGTAGTATAGGTTACGGACAGCCTTAGGTAGTCGCTAATAAATAACTGCTTACCGATCATACTGTGATATCTGCAGCGGCCCGGATTCACTCCAGTGTGACTTTGGTGTTTGTTGACATGTCGCGTGCGCGAACAGAGCCAAAACCGCACGGGATCATGGGAAATAGAGTTCAGCAGCACCTACTCTTCATCAGCGTAGGAACATAATTAGCGTAGGAGATGACAAATAGCAGGCTCACTGAATTTATCTGAATTTAATAATTCAGCTAGAACATGGATGGTTAAAATTTAAATGAGACATAGGTAACCGTGCTAAAGACGTGAGGGATGAAAAACTACATTTCCTGGTTGGATAAACCTCAGAGGAAGTTGTTGTGGTGAGGGGAATTTGCACGTGGATGTGTCTGCGAAATCATTATGATGGTATTCCGGTTATTCCTGAGGCCACAGTGTGATGTTGATGATCAGATCAGGTGCATATAAAGTAAGTCAGGTAAACGATGCTGTTCATTAAATTACGAATGTCAGTCACCAGTGTTGGGAGTAACGCATTACAAAAGTAATACTATTACAGTAGTATATTACGTTTTGCTGTAACGCAGTAGTACAACCAGAAAAGGATAAGAATGCTTAGCAATATGTGCGACACCAAACTCTCAACATGGAGAAATAGCAGGAGTAAAACCTGGAAACACTGGATTGGTGCCACTAACAGTAAGATATTGGAGAGAGCTGTGGGGTCAGAGAAGAGAAAGAAGGCGGCGGACGAGCGCAGACAAGCAACAAAAATTAAGTTGAACTAAAAATAACAAAATCTGTTTTTGTTCAATCATAGTCTATATGACTATGCCGTTGCTGTGAGGGTAATTACAATTTAGGCTATTAGCTTAGGCTACTCCTCATTGAGAATGTTTTAAAAAAAAAAAGAATAATAATTTATTCTATTAATTTATACAATTGAATTATAGGCCTATAATTAAAATGATTAACACTGCAGTCATCGATGAAAATTAAGAGCAGCTTTATTTCGTGCACAGATTTTCAAAAACAACCTGTTTAACGCGAAATACGTTTCTTCTCATGTTTTTCACTATAGGGCCACAAGATAAATATTAAGGGAATAATTTAAGACAGTTATATACCATCATCAGCCTATATTGACGTAATTTTGTCTCTTGTTGTCTCAGAGAATATGCGCCGTTAATGCAGCGTTAGAAAGCTCCGTCAGTTTCTTTACTTTCACGTTCTCTATAGTGAGTTTACTGACGTTCACCGGCATAACGCTTGCACAGTTTGCTGTTGTTTGCTTGTGTTGCTTGACCCCGCCCCCATAATATCAATAGTTTATAGGCCACATATTAGGCTTTTTTTTATTTTTATTTTATATTAGGCATTTTTACGTTTATTTTTTTAATGTTAATGAAAGTGACACCAAAAATAAGGGAACATCATTAGGAAATCCTTGGGAGGGCTGTGCCCGGGCTAAGCAAGTTTCTGATGGGCCCCGTCAAGCCCCGCCCTAGAGCCGCCACTGATTAGCCTAATTCGTTTTGGCTTGTTTAGCAACTTATATTTTTCATTCTTGTTTTCTTCTGAAACCGTTCAAATTTGCCTATAGGCTAGGTATTGTGTTTATTGTTTGTACATTATAACATTTCGCTTTATTTACCGGTGTTATTATTGAATGTAATAATGTGGTTTCTGCTTATCTGTGTTTAACCTAAACTACAACGTAACATTAATGTAGACCTACATACCGGCATCTAAATATGATTTTATAATTGTATGCTATATAGACCTACCACATTACCCTCCACTGGGTGTAGAATGAGCAGCAATAAACTACATTTTGGCATTTTATAATACTTCTGTGGATATTTTGGTGAAAGTAACTCAAAAGTAGTGTAACGCATTACAATTCAGAGACAGTAATATTGTAATGTAACTAATTACTTTCAAAAGACAGTAACGAGTAATATATAATGTATTACATTTTGGAAGTAACTTGCCCAACACTGTCAGTCACTGAGCAGTTGCCACTTCCATTGAAAAAGGTACACAAATTAGTTTTTTTTTTTTTATGGGAGAAAACAGGCAAGAGTTGCAGGCAGAATGTCAGATAGAGAGAAAATAAGCTAATAATTAAGAAGCATGGATGTATTATTATTATTACTACTACTACTACCCCTACTACTGTATTGAATTGAATATCCTTTCACCAGATTAATGCCTCTGTTGTAGGATTTTAATTGTTGGCTACAGCTGATATGATAATGGATTGTGCATGTTCAAAACTAATTAGTATTCCTGGTCTTTTCTTTTCTTTCTGTTCTTTTTCTGTGTGTTCTTTGACCTGGGGCAAGTTCAAGCTCAAACCGGTGTGCTCCGTTTTGCTACGGTTTCCGATTTGAACGACATGTTTCCTGGAAACGGTGTGCAACGGGGTTTGACGCGTAACTACAAACTGAATCAGGAAGAAAATTTCCATGTACTAGTTTCATGTTACCTTGTAGCATTACGTTTCAGACATTTACAATTTACGTAACGTTATAAAGCCAGTATATGTTGAATTAGGTGCAAAACCCTGCCAAATTGTTGCACCATCACAAGTTGTTGAGAATATTTTATTGCTACAAACTTAAATGTTGAGTGTAAATCACATCAGGGGCTGTATGTATAAAGCCGCTCAGAGAAAAAGTTTAGTCTTAAGTGTGTTTTAAATTTTACTCTTATTCCTAGACTTAAGAATAAGAGTGATTCATAAAGGTTCCTAAGTGTTAAGACTAGGTCTCAGCTCCTAAATTATTTAAGAGAGCGGGAGAGGTCTCCTAACCTAGTTAGGAGTAACAAGACAGCAGCAAAAAGGGAGGAGACAAACACTTCCCAATGAAGATATGACATATTGGATTTATATGAAGATATGGAGTTGATAAAATGATGCAAACATGATCTTCAAGATAGTCAATTCTTTATGCTACTGACCAAGTAAGAAATGTAATAACTTGTTCCACTTTACAAATCAATGCTCTAACTGCAGAAATAAAAGTAGTAATTACATTTTTTTGGCTGGAAAATTGGAAAAATGCAGCACTGGTGATGACACAGTAAGAAGGGTCTTAAATATTGTGGCACTAACCCCACCAAACACAACAGTGGCCAAAAATTATGTGTGTTTTTATTTTTTATGACCCCACATTTCACTTAAAACATCAAAATATGAGGGGAAAAAAACACTGACCAGTGTTGCCAACTGCTTTCAGTTGAAAATAGCTCAAATAGTTGTGTTGAATGTTACTAGATTACCTCATAATGGCGAGCTCACTGATCTAAATATAGATCAGTAGGAGAGTCTTGGATAAGGTTTGTCCAATAAATTTATTTTGTTGCTAGGCTTCTGAAAAAATCTCAAAAGGGGCAAGGAAGTCACTAAATCTAGTGACAAAATCACTATTAATATTTTGTTGGTCCGCTCTTGTTTTTGCATGTGTCCGTAATTTCTTTGTATGACAGCATGGCCAAAAATTATGACCGCATTAGTATGTTGGCATGTTTCATTGCATTATTATCACAAATAAAACAAT